TCCGGATAACGCTTTACCCGTAATGAGCCATAGATATTCTCCTGTATTGTGTTCTCTGTACATATTTTTCTCGCCCTGTGGAACAATGTTCGAACCAGGACTCTCTTGTGTTCAATTGGTGAGAAACTGTCGAAGTGGAGGTACTACCTGGACCAAGTCTTCTTGCGAAAGATAGATAGATTGTTGGATAGAACCGTCACTTTTACGGGTTATTAGGACATCAAGGAAAGCTAACGAGTTTGCCTTCTCCACTTCACAGGTGAATTTTAAGTTGGGGTGTGCTGCGTTGAATTCATCCAGCAATAGAGCCATATCGTGAGGGTGAGTGAAGATGACGAGCACGTCATCCACGTATCTTTTGTAGAAAAATGTTCTCTTGATTGCCTCGTCCAGCTGTGCTTNAACCATACTCATAAAAATATCAGCCAGGATAGGACCAAGGGGTCTACCCATCGCCACGCCGTATGTCTGTCGAAATTCGGTACCTTGAAACTGGAAGTGCACGTTTTCAGTGCACAGTAAAATGAGGAGTTTCAATAGCAACGGAGGTATGCTAAGGTTGATGTTCTCTCGAGTGGTGAGTTCGCAGATAAAGTCTACGGTTTCATGTGAAGGGACATTTGTAAATAATGGGGTAACATTAAAGGAACCCATTGTTTTACCAGATAGATTCAAACTGGACAACATATCACAACATATCCGTTTCTCGATCTAGTAGTAATTTGAGATTGGAAAAGTAGTATTTAGGCCACAGAATGGTCTCAGAGCTTGAGAATGGGAACAAATGAAGACGGGAAGGGGTGGGAGATAAAGAACTGTGCGGGAGAGCGCCCTCCCCCCACCCACCGGAGAAATTTTCTCGATTTATATACGCTCCGATACTGAGCGTTGTGAACTGCAATACGAACTTATAAGCTATTGCAGGTTGCCCACTTGTGTTAACTCAAGAACGAATGAGTCCAAAAACGCTTAGAAGGTAATTTGATCGAAAGTTTATCGGGAATTGGAAAAACAATCAAAGGTTTCCTATTGTTTATCAGTTCGATTTCAACTTTCAGTGGGATAGGCTGGAAGCCATCAGTGTTCACTCGGTAGTTGTTGACTGCATGGATTCAGAAGCATGAATATATCTACAAGGGCAATCAATCTCTTCGATTTCGGATTGATATCCGGTAGGGTACGTGTCGACAAATACAGTTCACGTTTTCCTTGCCCCCCCCCCTCCGCGGATTCATCTGCATCTCGTATTCGTCGTGTACATTGCGTGTTCGGAAACGGTTTATTTAACCCTCAAATATATATATATATACACTGTTAATCAGAGTGTCCTGAACTTGTTACATTTGAGATAACTCAACTCTACCGAACAATCGACACTATTCGAAGAGAAGCTAAAGACCACTTTCAACTTATCAGACAATTTCAAAATTGGTGTAACATATTTCACAGGGTTAATAAATTGATGATAGTTATGAAAACGTACTTTTATGAGCAGTTTATTATCTTAAGCACATTTATCTATCCCTTTCTGATGAGTAGAATTCACTTGTGAATGGCAAAACAATGTATCGTTTGAGTTACACTTGAGACGTTTACTCCTAGAAGTACCACATATTATAGAGAAACACTGAAGCTGTATGAGATGTGTAAAATGATTTGACGATACTGGCACATCGATTAAGCCTTCTCTAATCAACATGTGTTGCAGTGTGCGATCCTCACACTTTATTATTTAACCAAGCTTTGCCGAATTAATATTTATAGAAAATAAATTTTTCAAAATCTATTGACTTCAGAATATTCCGACAATTTGTGATCTGATTCACACACAGCGGCGTGATTCCAGTTTGTGAGTTGAGGCCAAAGGACCACCGGTCTTGGTTAAAGTATTGTCGGCTTCGGCTAGATGAATGTGGGGTTGAGGCTAAAGGATTGCGAGTTTTGGCTAAAGCTTGATAGGAAAAGATGTAGTTTAAGGCAAAATCACGGTACAAGACATGTTAAGGGAGGAGAAACTCGAAGTTCGTGTTGGTCATGGACTAACTCTCTTGCGTCCATTGTCACACTTCAACTTATTCTCCGTTTATTGCACTCGTCAGCCAGTTTATGTCTGGAATTCTAAAAATACCCGGGCCCGTTCGTTTTGAATGCCGTTTGAACAGCTAAAGTGTACCGTTCAGAAGAAGGAGTATAACTGCCCCGTGGATATGGGGTCAAGTCTTAATAAAGTTCATTCCAATCTGAGGGCTCTTTGCACCGAAATGTGCATTTTGTAGAGAAACCCTGAAGTATGAAAAACTCCAGACGATAAATATTTTTGATTCCCGGTGAAATATCGGACAGAGAATATTCGGAACCCTTGATAGAAGATAGATAAAGAATGTAAAACAATGTAATGGGTTCAAAGATGAACCTCAAAGTTACGACAACTGCAACCCCAATTTTGGGACTTTTTGTGGCGAACTGCAGAAGGGCTCCGAATCGGAAGGTTTTAGCATTGCGTCGAGCGACAACAGAGAAGAGTATGGAAGCTCTGAATACCTGATTTAAAATGTTTTATTAAAAAATGATTTGGATTGATTCATTGCTTGATTGATTATTGGTTATCTGATCGGTTGGTAAGTAGGCTGACTGATTGACTGGCTGGTTGGCTGGCTGGCTGGCTGGCTGGCTGGCTGGCTGGCTGGCTGGCTGGCTGGCTGGCTGGCTGGCTGGCTGGCTGGCTGGCTGGCTG